AAGATCTTATGGGAAATATTACCGACGCACGAGTGAAAACCAAGGCGACGCGAGTAGTAGTCAAAAGAAGGGTCTCGAATCATTGGCTCAATGAAGCCAACAAAATCGAGTTTTTTTTTTTTAAAAAACAACGCCCCGGGGGCGAGGGATTGGGCTGGATCCCCAACCTGTACATAGATCAAGACCCCAAAACGGGCCCAAATATCAAACAATTACAGTCGACATAGTCTCACAATCAATAGGAAGACAAAAACAGAAAAAGAAAAAGAAAAAGAAAAAGAAAAAGAAAAGAAATACTACAAGGTATATCATCAGGCTAATAGGTGCCCGGAATAAATGTATGATCAGAGGAGAGAAAATGTCTACTAAAACCGGAAAGATGGGTATCCAAGCTGGTCCATCCGTACCAGCGTGCGAAGACGGAGTGGAGCAGTGGTGTCGGTCTGATACGTGTGTAGGTCCGGTGTGGTGGCGCCAAGGCTGGCAATGTAGTCAGCAGGTCTGTTCCCCTCACGGAAGATGTGCGTAATCCTGTGATGGACAGACCGTATGAGAGCTCTAATGCGCATAAGCGGGTGCTGAATCTGCCACGAGCCCTGGTGGCCCGAGATCAGGATGGTGACGACCGCCGCAGCGTCCAGCTCGATCCAAATATGACTAGAGAGGTGGGCAGCAAGCTGAAGATCAATATGTAGTGCCTGAATCTCTGCATCGTAGCTCGAGGAGGCCTGAAGGGACGTGTGGAAGGCGGTGATAAGGGCGCTGCTGTGGTCCCGGATCAAACCTCCTCCTCCGGCAACTCCAGTCTGGCGATCAAAAGAGCCATCAGTGTTCAGCTTGACCCAAGGGGAGTCGGGTCGAAGCCAAACGACAGCTCTGGGCCGAGGAGGACGAACAGGCACAGGGGGAGCTACCATGTAGCGGTGTGGTGGCGTGCAGCCTGTCCAGTCTCTGGCAGTGAGCCTGCCCAATGATGTGAGGAGTGAAAGATGTCTCTGTACCTGCAAAACAATGTGAGAAAGCAAAAAAGTAATATCCTTATGCTTCGCACTATTCCTTTCCGTCCAGGTGAACCAAAGGATCAGACAAGGAATGAGGAAGCCCACGTGTCTAAAGTGTGTGCTCTGTGAGAAAAAAACTCAGGAGATCAAAGAAACTGTCTGTGGTGGGTAGGGATATATTAGTCCAAGTGGCAAAGTGCTCCCACACTCTCCTCACAATCTCACTCTCTAGGAAAAGGTGGGTAAAGGTCTCGGTCTCATGACGTCCGATCTCAGAACAACACATACACCGGGAGGGGAAAGAGATCCCCCTCGCATGTAAAACAGTGTCCATGGGTATCCGGCGCAAGAGAAGGCGCCACAGGAAAACCGAAATAGTAGGGGTGAAGAGGTCGCTCCAGATGGCTCCGAAGAGAAAATTAGGCCGATCTCTCAGCCTGATCTGCTCCCAAGCCGAGGTAGTAGAAAACACACCCGATGATGTAAGTCTCCACCTCATGCCATCCGAACCGTCCCCCGAGATGGGGATCTGCTAGATCTGATCTAATAACTGCTCGCTAAAACCTGCCCCGGAGCCCAGCTCTCTATCAAGCTTCCCCCTATCCCACGACCCGTCCATCCACAGGTCGCTCACAAGCAGATAGGGGGAATGCGACACTTGCCTATCGCTAGACAACGGCCTATCACCTAACCACCACTCATCCCAAAAACTAACCTCACCCTCACCCAAAACCCAAAAGATGTGCTCTTGGGAGCGCCTACCGAACCTAGTGAGGCGCCGCCACTGTCTGCTATCATGACTAACCGCCGTCACCCAACAAGGGTGGTTGGCACGTCTAGAGCAGTACTTGCCGCGAAGGTACTGGGCCCAAAGCGACTTTCCTTCCCTGAAGTGCCACCACAACTTGTAGGAGAAGGCAGTAACTATATCCCTAAGACGGCGGATGTCAAGGCCTCCCTCAGAGAAAGGGCGACAAATAGAGTCCCAAGTCACCCAGTGGGTACGTCTCCCCCTCCCGGAACCGTCCTCGTAACCCCAGAAATAACGAGCCATAATCTGGTCAATCTCGTCAAGAGTAGACCTAGGGGCTTCGAGGAACATAAGTAAGTGAAGCGGAAGAGAGCTAAGGGTGCTCTTGATCAGTGCAAGCCGACCACCGAAGGAAAGGTGTCTATGCGACCAACCAGAGATCCTATCGATCATCCTCTGTCTAATGTCCACAAAGAGCGTTCTCGAGAGGTGACCCTTATATAAAGAGGCACCGTGGTAAGTAATGGGAAGGTCGTCGCGCGCAAAGCCAGTGATCTCATGGATCCGCTGAGCCCAACTGTCCACGCTGGTGGATGAGAGGGTGAAGGTGCTCTTCTGCACACTGATCAGCTGACCGGTAACCGAGCTATAGTGCTCCAGAAGGTGCATAAGCTCGATCAGCCCATCAACATCCGCCTGGGTAAATATGATGATGTCATCCACATAAAAAAGGTGCGAGATGGGAGGACCATAGCCACAGTGCTGTATGTCATCCGTGGATGGTCGCGGATGAAGCCGTCAAGGCAGCGAGAGAGGTAGTCCGCCGCAATGACAAAGAGGGATGGGGAAAGGGGGTCACCCTGTCTATGGCCCCTAGAGGAGGGAAAGAAGTCGGTGGGGCTACCATTAACCAGGACCGAGAACGTGCAGTGCTCCACACACGCCTCAACAAAACTGATCCACCACTCAGGAAATCCCATCCTAGCCAGTGCCTCCCTAAGAAACGGCCACTCCACCCTATCGTACGCCTTAGCCATGTCTAGCTTGAGCGCAACGTTCGGTGTCCGCTTCCAATCCGCGTGGGAGATATCGTGGATCATCTCCTGGGCCAAAAGTATGTTATCACTAATGACCCGATCCTTGACGAAACCACTCTGGTTCGGAGAGATGAGGGAGGGGAGAAGAGGGGAAAGGCGGCCGTTAAGAATCTTCGAAATGAGCTTATTAGTCACGTTACACAGGTTGATGGGCCTGTAGTCGAACCAAGAACTTGGATTGGGTCTTTTGGGAATCAAGACGACAGAGGTAGACGTGAAGGAATCCGGCATCAGGTGACCGGAGAAGAAATCTAACATTGCCTCCTCAACATCAGGCTCGACAATATCCCAACAGACCTGATAGAAGAGAGAAGAGAATCCATCGGGGCAGAAACGCTGTTGGGATCAATCCCGAAGACAGCATCCCTAACCTCCTCCCTGCTCGGGAGCTCACAGAGGCCGACCAGGTCAACCGACGGAGGAATGGTGGGAAAGAAAGAAGCAATCGGGGCATCGAGATCCCCTCTGTCGGAGGTGAAAAGGGTCTGGAAGTGGGCAGTAGCCGACTCCCGAATCTGAGACTCTTGGGTCAGGGGTGACCCATCAGCCTCAATACTGTGGATGTGCGACTTAGCATGCTTCTGCCTAATGAAACCCTGGAAGAACCTAGTATTCTGCTCGTCCTCGGCCACCCAGCGAACGGCCGCCTTCTGCTTCCAGAAATTCTCCTCCATAAGGAGTCGGAGCATGTACTCGGCATGGCAGCCGCGCATCGCAGTCCTATTCTCCAGAGTGGGGTCCAGATCATAGGCCCGCTCAGCCTTCGCATGCGCACTCTGAGCCACAGAAAGGTGCTGATGGAGGTTTCCAAAAACATTCCAGTTCCACTGTCTCAACCTACGTCGTAGTCTGCCGAGCTTCGCCTCGAGATTGCGCATCCCAAAGAGCCCAGTCGGCTGAAGCCAGGAGTCCCTGACAGTGTCGTGGAAGGAGTGGTGGCGAACCCACATGTTCTGGAACCTAAAAGATGAACGGCGAGGGGTGCTCGAAAATCGACACCTAATGAGGAGGGGTGAATGATCAGACCCAAATTGAGTGAGGTGTGAGACGGCCGTGACCGCAAACACCTTCGACCACGCCTCAGAAACCAAAGCACGGTCGAGCCTCTCTTTGAGATCGTCCCTAACCCACGTAAAGGGCTCACCCTTACATCCAGCGTCAATCAACTCACAGTCCGCCACAGCCTGAGCAAAGTCCCACATCTCCCTTGAACGATCCAAAAGGCTACCCACACGCTCATCGGGATGCAGAAAGATGTTGAAATCGCCACTAACCATCCATGGCAATCCCTCTATGCTCTCAGTAATCTCACGCAGGGTGTCCCAGAGATCATATCTCCCGACCCTATTACACTTGGCATAAACCAAGGTGTGAAATATGGGCTCGGGGAGGTGGGCCGCAGAAAGTTCGACATGAAGCACCTGGTCGGTATCCCGGAGGACCCGATAGGTGTAGTCACGCGAATGGAAGAACCAGATCTTATGCGAAGTGTTACCTACGCCCAAGTGGAAGCCAAGGCGGCGTGAGTAATAGTCATAATCAGGGGTGCGAATCATCGGCTCTAAAAAGCTAACGAAGTCCAATCTATGATCACGTATGAGAGAGTGGAGAGTGGCCATATTAGCCAGGCCCCGGCCATTCCAGGTAATAGATGTAATATACATATCAACAGTTGTGAGAGCCACCAGACGTGGTCCGACTGTGGCGATGCTGGGTCGAGCCACCTGAAGGAGGGGGGAGGTGGCGAAAAGATCGAAGGGCAGGGAAGACAGTCTGTCGTGTCACGCGCGGTGTGGGTCTGGTCTTTAAGGGGGGATGCCCTCGATAAGTGCTCGTAGCCTGCGAGTCATCGGACTGAGCAATCGGACCCAAAGCGGCACTAGGGACCTGCCCCATCTCTAGGGCCGTCTCCTGTCTATCAAAGTGGACGAATGCGCTAGAGGCAAAACTCTCGCACGAGACGTCATGCTGAGCGCGGTTAAGACCGCATGCCTGCTCCGGGATGGGGGGGAGAGAGGCTCCATTCGGCGGAGCACTCGGGTGCTCACCGAGAGAGTGAGGCTGGAGAGTAGCTATATGCTCAGCCGACCTCCCAAGCTCAGCAGAGGGAAGATGTGTCGGCTCTTCCCCTTTCGGGGGAGTGGTGGCGGGAGCTGTCCTCATCTCCAGGGAGCGGTCCTGGCTAGATGAATGGACAGACAAAGGAACAGCACCTCGAGTGCTGTCATCAACTAAGTGAATGGACGTACCACTGGTCGAGGCGTCCGGCTGCTCCAGATCCTCAGCTAGGAGATCATCATCGTCTAAAAAAAGAAGGTCTAAGGACCTATGGGGATCACTGGTAGAGGTCTCAGGCTCATCCTCTGCCTCAGGGGAGAGGACATCGAAGAACGAGTGATTGGCCTTAAAGACCGACTGAAGGGTGTGTCTGGGAATGAAGCCCGAGGACTTGGCCTTGGGCCCAACAGAAGCCAACTGCTTAGGCTGGTTAGGATGAACATCCTTTCCAGTTTGGGCAGTGGAGACCATCACAGCCTTGCCCTTATCCTTGACCCCCTTTGGGGATCCGGGAGCTTGGAGAGGGCCTTTGCCCTTTCCCTTCGGTTCCCTCCAGCCATTGGAGGGTCCCTGCTGAGTCGCACGATGGCGTGGAGGCAGAGTGGGACGTGGCTTATTGCAACTAATGTAGCAATCAGCCGCTATATGCCCCATATGGTTGCATGAGGTACAGAAAATGGGGATCTTCTCGTAGATCACCCACTGAGCAAAAGTCTCCGAACCCTGCTCAATCTCAATCTCATGGACGGGCTCAACCCTGAGATCGATCTCAACACAAAACTGAGCCACATTAGCCCTCGACTGGAGGGCTGTCGGGGCATCAATGCGGACCGGTTTTCCAACACACTTTGCCAGTGTGGTGATGGAATCCCGGTGATAAAGGTGTGGTGGGAGGCCGGGGAGGCGGCACCACACGGGGACGACAGGCGTCTCCGTCTTCGGGTTGAACCCGGAAGTGTACTTGAACACCCTAGCTGGGCATCGACACACAAAAATGGAGGTCTTAAGCCAAGTCTCATTATAATCCTCAGGAAGGTGGAAGGTGACTAGGAGATGGTTGAAATTATACCACTTAAATGAAAATCTACCCTTAAACCCCAACTGACCTAATCCAGCAGATATAACTCGGGGGGGAGGGATGTCATAAGAGAACTTAAACACAAGGGTGTTAGCTAGCTTACCGGCAAGGTTGTCAGCTTCAGCCTGTGAGAATCGAGCCTTCACTTTGTTTCCCTCCGAGCGGATGATGGTCCCGCAAGCATGGTCATAGTCCCCGTCAAGGGTGAACTCCTTGGGTGTCGGACGTGAAGCGTCCAAACAGCCATCTCTCCTTCCCGTAATATCATCTCGGAAAGAAAGTGTACCCGTGGAAGTGGCCAGAGGAGTCCCGGTAGCAGCGGGGTTGGCCGTGGGGATGTCCGTCGGTGGCGGCCCTTTCGGGGAAGCTCCGGTGGAATGAGGTGCGGACGTCCTGTTTGGTCTCGTGACCACAACCCATCTTCGCGCACGAATAAGATTGACGGGTCAGGGTCTCCGGCAGCAAGGGTGGAGAGTCCAGTGGGTTGTTCGGTCGGTTGAGGAGAATTTGGTCGAGGACCGATAGCACCGGTCAATGAAACCAAATCCGGGTCATCCTTGGAAGTGTTGTCGGGCTGCTGTGGTTTTCCGCTGGCCGCTATGCCGCCGCCGGTGGCGACGCCGGCGA